CCAGTGTTGTAAGACGGACCCGACCAGACAGTCGAACCATAAAAAATACGACCATGTAGTATTTTTGAGTATCAGCTATGGTTTTGACGAGTTGAATGGGATACCTTCCGGGTTAATAAAATACCGTGACCCATTGAGCATTCCGGTTTTTAGTTCAGTTCAAATCTTATAAGATTGATTTCAAGTTTCAACTACATCAGGATCGTATCAGATTTTGGGTGTATAAATTTAACAAATTTCCAACCCAACCCGACCCAAGTTGCATGCACCTTATATGAGGTTGGAGCACATGTATAAAAAAAAGTATTTGCAAGCACCTTATATAGAAAGACATTATATCGAAATAATTTCAATCAAAACCTTATAAATTTTGATGGAAATTCACATGATTGGTTATCACATTTGTGATGTGATATTGATAATAAATTTTTACGGTATCATGTCATTTTAACACCACAGTCGAACCCTATTTTCAAATAATCCACATTTGCTACGACACTGTTATAGCCCTGCACAAAACAATGAAATCAATGCCTTTGATGACTTACTATGGCCTCACCTTAAATTAAATGAAGTTCACCGCAATATATAAAAGGCATTGATTATCGATCTAGCCCGGCACTACAACACTGTCGTAGCAATGTAGCAAAATTGAACTCATTTTCAATCGGATTCGACTATGACATGAAAAGATATGATATCCAAAAAAACATCTGACCAATCAATTGGAATCATAGATTTAATAGTGAATCAGGTATTATTTATTAAAATTCATGGATGGATTTTAATTGATCAAAACTTTTTTTATATCATAGATTTTCTCTTTTCGAAATGGTTTATAAGAAATCTATCTACCGGATATTGTACCCTGTTTTTAATCAGTCCTAAAGCAGAGAACATGAGTTGGATGCAATTAGGTTGATATAATCATAGTCTGTAGAGATGGATATTGCTAGCAGATGACAGAAGGAGACAACTGATCAATACCAACCAGTGATGGCAGCAAAAACATTATATCAACAACAGGAAGTCAGGAATGTGATGCAGCTTTGGGCCTCTATCCAGAGGGTGGGGTCTATACACCAAACCTAGTTAGCTGGGTTACTGTTAACAAGAATATTGCATGTGGAACCCACTTCATTCCAAAATCGATTTGGTCCTCACAAGACTGTGTTCATACTGTTTGTAAAGACCCTTGCAATCTTGCATTGAAAACATCTTTCCATGAAAAAAAATATAAAATACAAAGATATTCCCAACATAAGGATGCAAGTGAACGATGTGAACATGACCTTGTGAGGATTTTCCATGTGTTTTAAACTGCGCCTCTAGAAAATGGAGGATGTTGAGTGACCAACTGAACTACCATGCGATCAGCTATTATTTATGGGTTCAAAATTATGAAGAATAGACACTTAGCTTTTGGCTTTGCAAGATGGGTCCCACACGGATAGCCTATGAGCTATGTTTGGTGAAAATCCTAGAATGCCCAAAATAATCTGTCACTCATCCAGAAAAATGGCTCTTCAGATGAAGATTATTTTAGTAGCCTCATCAAATGTGACTCTGTGAAAACAACTCAATTAAAGCTTCAGGTTATGTTTAGTAGCCTTCCCAAATGGGCCATTAGGCTTTGTGAAGTGTTTGGCAGTTGACACTTCACTTTAGATTGTAATGTTTTAAAAAACAACTATTCCCAAATGTTAAGGGTACTTTTTTTGGCTCATTTTTATTTCTCACAGTCCAAAGCTCTAAAGCAAAAAAAATTATCCAAATGACATCAATGTTCTGGGTCCAATGAATGATAAAAACAGTATATTTCTCAAAAATTACTTAACCACATAATCCCCAAACCCCTATTTGAATATTCCATTTGGTTGATGCTTGACAAACTTCTTTTTAGACTATTTTCTTTTTCCTATCAATCCATGAAATATTGGGTCCAATATCATTTGCCTAAGCAGAATATGGTGTCCATTTCAAACAAAGCATAATGGTATGAGCTGACATCTGTGACATTTATTGAGATCTCTTCAAATCTGAATCTTTTTCATGTACAGTTGTCCCTGGTCAAGAAAAAGACTGACTGCAACTAGCACAACAATTTCTGTCAAAATCATTTGAAAGGCACACGCTAAGCTCAAATTTGTGGAATTTAGGGCTCACAGCAACAAGAACCCATCAATCCATTGCAATCTCATTAAACAATCCTGAGCTTACAAAAACATGGTGAACCAGTGTTGTGAGATTCAGACCAGACCGGAAGGTCGGACCATGAAAATTAGGAACTGGTGACCCGTTTAGGTCCCGGTTAAATAATGGGTTTCATTGGTTGAAACAAGCTAATTGCCTGATTAACTGATAAGAACTATGACCTAATGAGCATTCCGATTTTTAGGCTAGTCCAAGTGATGTGTGCCCTAGATGGAGCTGTCAATGGTTGGGTCTACCTATTAGAATTGAATTGATTATGTCAGTTCTAGTTCTGGTTCTGTAGTATGTGTCTCAATTAATAATTGGGTTGGCATCGGTTCTTCCTATTTATAATTGATTATATGGTTAATAATATATAAAGGTTTCCTTGTAGCTTTTGTTATATTTTATATTTGAAAGGACAAATTTCATAGACAATAAATAAGATAATTTTGGTTAGAACAATTGATTTATTCAATACATAGTTTACTATTTACTGACATTTTCTATTAAAGTTATATTATAAAAAATGAAGTTCCAATTCCTAGCTAATTATACACAATAATTCTGATTAATAATTGGTTCAGTTTAGGTATATTTTATAGTAGGGTTGTTCATAAGAAGGCCCAACCCGACCAAATCAATCAACCTGGACCGACCCAACCCGAGTTGGCCAGGTTTTCATAAGCATCGATCGGTTTCGGGTTGTACAAATTCATAAACCGATGGTTCGGGTCGGTTTTAGTTTTCTTGTGTGAAAACCGAAACCGACTTAGTTCCTACTTAACTAAGTTGTCTCTATCCTAATTCCTAATTACAACCTAACCTAGTCTTATAGTTCCTATTTAACTAAGTTGTCTCTATCCTAGTTTCTATAGTCTTTTACACCAAATAGGCAACCAATTAGGCAATTACAATTAGAATTARGTGTCATTTTTTACTTAGATTAGAACTTAGAAAGTTTCTTGAAATATACAAATTTCAGCCTTCTTTCTATAAAACAGTTTGACTTTCTATTTTCTTGATAACTTTTGTCTTCTATTCTAATTCTAACTTTTTAAATATATTTCCAAAAAATATCTTAAAAACTTCAGTTTTCAGTTTTCAGAATAGATATTTCCTTCTAGGCTTCTATGTCCTTTTTGTACAGGAACAAAACCGAAACCGACCCAAACCGACCATGTCGGTTTTGCTTAACACTGGGTCGGTTTCGGTTTCCATCTCAGGTAACCCGACCAGGTCGAGTTAGTTGGAAAAACCCAGTAAACCAACCCAACCCGACCCGTGAGCAACCCTATTTTATAGATCTGATTAATAATCGATTTAGGACTGGTTCATTTTGTCCCAAATCAAACCTGACCCATTGACAGCTCGAGCCCTATATAAGAGTTGCTCTACATTTAATGGATATTTCCAATGTTGTAAGACTTGGGAGGGGGGGGGGATTTGATAAAATCTGAATGTGCTGAACTGAATTTGTCTTTTAGTAAATAAGTTTTTAGGAGGTTGTGGGTTCTATGTTGCATTTGGAAATGATGCAAATGGAGTGTAAATTTCGGTTCAGGGTAAATTTGCACTTCGATTCACTTTTGCCTGTGTTTGGCAACACTATATTTATGCGTTGACAAATGACAGACGTCACAGACCAATGCATATTTTCATTGATAATAAGATGCAAAAATACATCAATAAAAAAGAAGTAAATTTGCATTCAAGTAGGCTTTTGATAAAAAAACATATTCTTTATTAGAATTCATATTTACACCCATTACAGCTAAAAATCTGTTTGGTAAGAAGATAAATTTGTCAGTGCAAAAATTAATCCAATTTTGCAATTTATATAAACCGTTTTATACTCTACATATTTGCATTCACACTTATTTACATCGTTTCCAAACACAACCTTAATATTTAAACCTGAAGTTGGATAGATTACTATACCCTTGATAATCTTTGAAAATCTATTTATTTAAATGTTTTATCAACTAAAAAGATAAAAGCAATAAGTCTTTTTGTTCACCAGCTTCAGTTGTTATCAAACAACCCTTTGGATGAGATTAAAAAACCGGAATGCTCTATGGGTTATGGTTTTTCTTATTAACTTATTTAATTTTTAGACAAATCATTTAAGTAAGGGTGCAACTTGAGTGAACTCGAGTTAGGATTTTGTCAAAATTTGAATAGGCCCGGCCCGAAACAGTGTAAGATGCTAACTCAGCCCAACCTGAGTTGCACCCCTACATTTAAGCAGGACCAAAAATAATCACCCACTTCTGGTTTTTATGGTCCAACCGACTGGTCCAATCCGAGTCTTAAAACATTCTTAGTTCTTTCTTTTGTCATTAGTCTTTGTTCGGTTGAGACTAAAAAAAAAAATGATGAATGGATATTAATCCCAATTGGTGTGATTAAGTAGGGCAATTGGGTGATTAAAAAAGGGGGTTATCTTGACTTGTCTAACACCACTTTTCAAAAAGTGCGCCACCATTGGTCGCCATCTCAAGAGTTGGAAAGGGAAAGTGGTCTTTTCAAGGGCATTTTTGTAATAAAATTAATGGGAACAGTATCCCAAACGTATCAAATGCGAATCAAACAATAATCCGTTATTAAAATATGATTATAAAATTGTTAAGAGTCTTTTAGACTTTGGGACGTGTGTTATAAGGTGGGGAGTTCTTAGTGGCATTCTCCGAAATTATGGATAAAACCATGGGTTTTTATGTAGGTCCATTGACTTTTTGTTTTATTTTATTTTCCCGTTTTTCCTATTTCCTAAGGTTCTGGATTTATTATTTGGTCCGGTTTTTCGTTTTATTTTTTATTTTTTTCCTCTCAAATGGATCGACCAGTTAAAAGAAGCTCTCTCTCTCTCTCTCTCTCTGTGGAGCTCTCTGCAACTGATCTTCTGATCAGCTTTTCCTAGGTTTCATCTCATTTTTCTTTCTTTCCGACTTCAATTTTGTGTCTTGGACAAGAATCTCGAGCTCAACGAGTCGAAAATCATTGAGAACAGTGGAGTTTCTGCGTACTTTTCAGTGATTTTCTTCGAAAACCTAAAGGTACTTTTCTGTTCTTGTTCGTAGTGTTGTTCATTTGCTGACTGAAACTTGAAAGACTCGAGAAGTTCTTCTGTGCGAAGTCGGATGGAGTAGATGAAACATGGATGAAGGATTTGGGGGTATTTTGAGCAACATTTCTAGTGTGGAAGCAACTGCGGAAGGATAGATGGAGTGATCCAAGTGGAAATTCGATGGATCAATGATGGTTGGTTTGATTCCCAACGATAATTTTGGGATTTGGTTTGGGACTTTTGGTGTATTGGCAAATTTGGATGTGATTCTGGAGTTCTTGGGTGAACGAGTGAATGACAGGATTTTACTTTGAGAATGGGTGAAGCATTGATTCCTGTGAAGAGTCTGATTTTGGTCAGTAGAGTCGTTTCATGATGTCGCGAACTGAGAGGATGACAACGGATCTTAATAGGACTGGCCCTGTCGAAAGGGACATTGAACAGGCAATGCATCATACTTACTTAGAGGTTTCCTTTGAATTGTATTTTGTTTTTTCTTTCATTGTTTGTGGTAATTAGAGTCAAGTCTAAACTCATTCAAAAGCTTGGACTGGAGTTTTTCTTCGAAATACATTTTGCTTTGTCTTGCTTGTTTTTCATGCTTAGATTAAATTTAACTGATTCATAAGCTTGGACTGGAGTAGTTACGTTGTATGATATACTGAAAGAAGTATAAATGCTGGCTGCTATCTGCAATATTTTGTTCCTGTTGCCTGCTGTTAAGTTGAGAATGCGATGATTAAGGGTGAAAAGAATTCAATAGTGGATTTTCTGTTAATGTTCAAGGGGCATAAATTGCAACAGTATGTGTGAAGTGAATTTGGAACTGATATAATGTTATCTAGCTTGTTAGAGTATCTGAAAATGGTTTTTATTTGTCTGACTGCTTTGAACAAAGCTTCTGATTGATTATTCTAAGATCCGTGTATGCACCAAATGACTTTTCAGTTTTCAAGTTTTATTTGGAGATGCTATTTTGTCCCATGATGCTTTGCTATCAAGGTTTGAGGACAGGGATGATGATTGACGAATGACAACTAGATTGAGAAATCCATCAGTTATAATTATTACCATTTGTCTTATCCCATGGTTCCATGAATTTTATTCCTTCTTACACTCTATCGAGGCCTATATCTTCTGTTAAACAATAATGTGGAATCTTTTGTCACGACTTCAACTATTTCTAGAATTCCCCCTTCTTCCTTTTAGAAGTTCAGTCCTGCATCATGTTATTCTTTTTCATGTGTACATGCATTGTTTTTCATATCACATTGCAAATTGTCTCAGCATCATCATTTTCATAGTCATCTCTTTTATTGATTACCCAACATTTTGCTTCATAAAGCATCACTGGCCTATCAACTGTTTGTATAAAAAAATTACCTGACCTGTTGTCCATGAAATTATAGTTATATTTCCGTGTTCAAGTGGTATTATACTCTTGAAGAACATCTGCACTTTATCTCCTAACTATCATTTTATGACAAACATTTATTCTTCTTCAATCTTTTCCTCCTTAAATAACTAAATAAGGATGGTGACATTTTACCTGAAAGTCACTATGTAATGAAAACTACTACTTCTTTTTGAAAATTGTAAGGAAAATTACTGCTTATTAGCTTAAGAACAAAAAAGAACATGGAATCTTACAATAGTGAATTACCTGTTGTGTAATTGTGTGATGGTCTTACTTATAAACCTTCACTTTCTTCTTCTAACATTTTTATAATTTAGGCCTTTTTCCCTTTTCTTTTATGATCAATCAAGAAGCTTATTCATATTAAATGAAGGGAAGGACCTCATTTAAGATAGTCATTCGATGCTAAACACCATTTAAATAGCCTTTTCTTTTGAACTAATATATACACAATAGCACATACAGAAATAGAATTCTCATATGGTAATACCACTATTATGTATTTTGGCATCCCAAGTCATGGTCAAGTTAGCAAAGTGAATCCCACTTTCAATTCTTTGAAAATTGAATACTTTGTTTTTTTATTGCTTCATGGGGCTACACAACGGGGGGTAGCTTGTCCCCCAATACCCCTAACCCCTAACCCTAGTGGCAGTGGGATTTGATCCCATGTTGCTACTTCAAACAGCCATAGAGATTTACCAATTGAGCCACCATCTGTTTCAAGGAGGGTCGTGTAGGGTTGGTCCTTCTAGTTAATCCATGAGGATCCACAAGAGAAAGGGGTTGGAAGCAAATCTAGAAATCAGCAATTGTCTAAAAATGATAGTAATTCAAACTTCAAACTCTATGTAAAAAGATGTGGACAAGAGGAATTCGGACTCATTTTCTGGTATTCAAAAAGAAGATTTATTGTAGGGGAAATGGAGATACAAGGGGACCGCTGTGGTTAGGGGAAAAGGAGATACATGTATAACCCTTTAGAGAAGGCCTGAGGAGGAGACCGCCATGGTGAAAAAGTTCAAGGATGAGGAGACCGCCGTGGTTAGGCGGTAGGGATCCAAAGACCAGGAAAGGGGTTTCATTCAAAGAAGTGACCGGAACCAGAGTTTGGCCAACAAAAGGTGACGTCAGGTTCTTACGGAGTGATGAGTTGTTCTTCATTGAGACGTTGGAGAAAGGCGTAAACCTTCGAAAAAAAATCCTGGAGGGCTGCCTTGTTGGTAGGTTCGTGGCAGAGGTGCCTGATCTCGCAGTAGTGGCGAGGTGGGCTCAGGAAGCTTGGGGTGCTGTAGGGGAGGTGAAGGTTAAAAAACTTGTGAAGGGATTGTTTCTGTTCATTGTCCCCTTGGAGAAAGAAGCGGTGACGCTTCTCAGTGGTGCGCCGTGGTACCTGGGGAAGAACATTCTTCTCCTTGATAGATGGAGTGCCTGTGCGGGTTGTAGTTCCAACGAACCTTCCGGGAGAGGTAATCTCAACCAGAAGATCTGGGTTCGTATTTATGGATTCTCGTTGATCTTGTGGAGTCCGGAAGTCATCTCTGCGATCGGGGATTTCTGCGGGGGTTTCCTAGCCACAGATGACTCCACAGAGGAGCTGGCAACCTATGAATGGGTGAGATTGCAGGTGGCGTGGAGGGGAGAGATTCCGATGTCGGTGGATGTTAGAGTGGGTGAAGTGGTGTATAATATACACATCTGGCCAGAATTGGAACCTTCAGTGAGGCCGGTTACGAAGTTACAGAAATCGGCGAAGAACATTTTGAAGGATGAAGTGATTGAAAGCTATGAAGTAGAGACCTGGGGGTGGTTGAGAAGGGGGTGAGGGTGGGTGTCGTGTCGGATGGAGTTTCCACGGGTGACCCGGAGGGTCGAAGTCCAAGAGATTTGGAGAAGATGACAAGGGAATCGTCGATTGTAGTAAACGGGAAGGAGAATCAGACGATGGAGAAGAGGGTAGCGTCTGACAGTGTATCTAACTACAGACAGGCGGCTCGGTTTCAAAATTTGAACAAGGCAAAGAGGAGTGCAAAGTTTGACCTTATGCCTGACAGCGTTCAGGGGGCTCAGACTCAAAATCTGAACAAGTCGGAGAGAGGCTATTGGCCGAATAGAAAAGAGGAGTTGAAAGATTTAATAGGGGAATGCTTGCTGGAGATGGGTCACACGGGCGGAGAGGGTAGGGAAGAACGGGTCGGATGGAAGATCCGGAATTTCAATCACAAAAGGAGGTCTAGGGACCTGTTTGGTATTAGGGGCTTGGACCGTGGGCTAGGGGATAAGAGAGGGGAGGACCGACGAAAAACTGGGACCCAGTTTTCTCTAGCTGTTGGGCCGGTTGGGGGAGATAGTTAGGGGAGTCTTGAACCCAGCTTTGAGTATGGAGGCCAGAATTGGAAGCTTCCAAATGTGTACAAAAGGGACCGAGGGGCGATCAAGATCTTCGAGGGAAGGAGGGGACAGGTGAAGAATCAAAGAGCCCTTGCAGGGGAGGCAGTGGGGAAAGGGAAAGCAGTGATGGTGGAGGCAGAAGTGTCACCTGACGAAGATGTGGATGGAACGATTGCTAATGACGTTCCTGAATTTAGAGGGAGCCCCGGTAAAATTCAGAGTGATATGGAGAATAGTGAGGGCCTTCATGGGGAAGAAGTGTCTCCGTTCTGTCGTCGTAAGAGAGGACGGGAAAAGGAGAGGGGAGTGAGTTTCTGCTTAGTATGGCCATGGTCGAAACACAAGCTCGTGGGAGTGAGGGTGATGGAGAGGCAACATTGCTGGAGGGTGGGGAAATCTTGGAGGGAACACTTCTATCGAGTTGGGTGTAATGAATGCCAAAGGCAAGAAGAATGCGAAAGGGAAAAGGGAGTTGTTACGTCTCACTTGGGGCCTAAATGATAGGGCGGGGAGTACAGAGGACAGTGGTAGAGGGAGGAGGAGAAAAGGGAGGTAGGAAGTAGGGGAATGGGGGGATAGGAATGTATTTGAGTAATGATGAAAATTTTGTCGTGGAATGTTCGTGGCTTGGGTTCGGGGAGGAGAAGGGTTGTCATCTGCTCCGTAATAAAGGCACACAAACCAGATATCATTTTACTTCAAGAGACAAAACTGAGTAGAATGGACGCATCAGTGGTTAGAAGTGTGTGGGGGGATGGACAATGCAGGTGGAGATGTTTAAATGCTTCAGGAACAGCAGGGGGAATTCTAGTAGTATGGAACTCCAATACTGTCACGACCAGTGACTCCATGGTTGGAAATTACTCGGGAGATTTCAAAGGGATAATTACAGGGGTGTATGGCCCAAATGATGCTGAAAGGCAGAACTTCTGGGAGGAGCTGGGCAGAATAAGGAGTAGGGGTAATATTCCCTGGTGTACAGGCGGAGATTTTAACATTATAAGATTCCCACAGGAGAAAAATAGAGGTATGAGAAGGACTACGGGGATGCGGTCTTTTGGTGAATTTGTTTACAGACATGGTCTGGTGGACTTGCCGTTGTCTGGTGCTAAGTTCATTTGGACTAATAACCAAGACGATCCTACTTTAGTTCAGCTTGACAGATTCTTGGTGTCAACAGAGTGGGAGGAAAGTTTTCCTAACTTGTTTCAGGAAGCTCTACCAAGACCTGTGTCTGATCATAGGCCTATTCTTCTTTGGGGGAAGGGCCTGAGGAGGAAGCCAGGTCCTTTTCGGTTTCAGGAGGCTGGGTTTGAAGAGAAGTTGAAGGAGTGGTGGTTATCTTTTGAGGTAGAAGGCTCAGGATCTTATATTCTTGCAAAGAAGTTACAGATGTTGAAAGAGAAAATCCTAGACTGGAAGAAAAACAATCTCAAGGCAGTAGAACTAAAAAAAGGAGAGTTGTTAAGCACCATTGAAGAGCTGGATAGGAAAGAAGAGTTGGTGAACCTATCTGAAGAAGAGAAGGCAGCTAGGACTGAGGCAAAATTGTGTTTTGACAAAGTAGCATATCAGGAAGAGATTAAATGGAGACAACGGGCTAAAATCTCTTGGCTGAAGGCGGGAGACAGAAATACAAAGTATTTCCATGCAGTGGCTAATTGTCGAAGAAGGGAGAATACTTTGAAGAAGCTGCAGGTGGGAGACAGAATTATTGAGGAGGAATCTTCTATTAAAATGGAGGTGGTGAAATTCTTCAAGAATATGTATAAGGAGGTGTGGCCGGTTCGTCCAGGTCTGAATGGGAACCTGTTTGAAGCTTTCTCCAACAATCAAAGAGAAGATTTAGAGAAACCTTTCTCAGAAGAGGAAGTATGGGGGGTTATTAAAAGTCTAGAGGGTGAGAAGACTCCTGGACACGATGGGTTCACAATGCTGTTCTTCAAGAAATGCTGGAGTTTCATTAAGCCAGAGGTGATGAAGGCTATGTTGGAGTTCCACGAAAGAGCATCCTTAGAGCATAGCTTAAATGCTACGTTTATAACTTTGATTCCAAAGGTTCAGAATCCGATGCGTATCTCTGATTACAGACCCATAAGTTTGGTAGGAGTTTCTACAAAATTCTGGCGAAATCCCTTACTAATAGAATGAGGAAGGTACTTCCTGAGATCATTTTAGAGGTGCAGGGGGTTTTCTTGCCCAGTCGACTATTACTAGAGGGTGTTCTTATTGCTAATGAGCTGGTAGACTCGAAGTTAAGGAGTGGCAGCACTGGGGTGGTATGCAAATTTGACTTAGAGAAGGCTTACAATCATGTAAACTGGAGGTTTCTTGACTTGGTGTTGCAGAAAATGAACTTTGACCAGAAATGGAGGAATTGGGTCAGAGTGTGCATATCCACTGCTAAGTTTTCTGTACTTGTGAATGGGTCATCTTCTGGTTTCTTTAGAAGTTCGAGGGGTCTTCGACAGGGAGACCCCCTCTCTCCCTTGCTGTTTATCTRWGTGGTGGAGGCTTTAGCTAKATTAGCTAAAAGAGCTGCGGCTGAAGGCTGTGTGGAAGGTTTTAGAGTGGCAGAGGAAGGAACTGTGGTCCCTTTACTACAGTATGCAGATGATACTTTATTCTTTGTTCAGGTAGAAAAGGAGCAGTTAAGTAATCTTCGGATGATTCTGGTTTGGTTCGAGGTGATCTCTGGATTACGGGTGAATTTCAGAAAAGTGAAATTATCCCAGTTGGGGAGGTCAATAACATCCAGGATCTGGCTGCGGAGCTTGGGTGTAAAGTGGGAAAACTCCCTTTCAGGTTCCTGGGTCTTCCAGTTGGAGCAAAATGTCACTCCAAATCCATTTGGGACCCGGTGATTGAAAGGATAGAGAAAAAGCTAGGGGGTTGGAAGTCCAGGTATTTGTCCAAGGGAGCTAAGATTACTCTGCTGAAAAGTGTCCTAGAAAATCTACCTATCCACTTTTTATCTCTGTTTCCAATCCCAATACAGGTGGCTGTAAGGATGGAAAAGCTAGAAAGGAAGTTCTTATGGTGCGGGAAGGATGGTGAACAAAAGATCGATCAGGTTAAGTGGGATTCCATATGCAAACCTGTCTCGGCAGGGGGTTTAGGAGTAAGAAATTTTAGGCAAGTAAATACTGCTCTCCTAGGTAGATGGTGGTGGCTCTTTAATTCTAGCCCCCAAGCTCTCTGGAGGCTGATAATTGTGGAAAAGTTTGGAACTAGAAACTATGGATGGGATCCTGGACCTGCACCCTCGCCTGCTGGATGCTCAATTTGGAAAGGAATTGAGAAGGTTATCCTCTTTTTATCCAAGGGATTAGGCTAAATTTAGGGGATGGCAAGAGGATTAGTTTCTGGTGAGACACCTGGTGCAATGGTGTTCCCCTAATGGAGACCGTCCCGTCGCTATTCCTTATAGCAGAAGACAGGAATGTGGTGGTGGCAGATCAGTTTGAGCGGCGGGGAAATACAGGATACTGGTGTCCAAAATTTAGGAGGCATCTCAACAATTGGGAATTCTCTGATCCGTTAGAGCTGCTACAAGCGATTCAGGAATATCAACTGAACCCAAATCAGCAAGATGCCAGAATTTGGAAATGGACTAAGGATGGGATTTTCTCAGTGAAGTCATTTTATTCAAATCTGACTGCTGGTTCGGCTCAGGCTTTTCCTTGGAAAGAGATTTGGCTTCCTCAGATTCCTACTAAAGTCTCCTTGGTCTGGACTGCAGTGCATGGTAAATGTCTCTCCAAGGAGCAGTTAATCAGGAGGGGTCTGGTGCTGCCCTCCACAAGTTGTGTGATGTGCAATGGAGAAGTCGAATCGGTGGATCACCTATTTATTCATTGTGAGGCTGCCCATCTGCTGCTCTGTCATTTCTGCTCCCTGCTAAATGTGAGGTGGTGCTGCCCCAAGTCTTTAGGTGATCTGCTTTTCTCTTGGAAGTTGACAGGCTTAAGTAACAGGGGTAAGGTGTTATGGTGTATGATCCCTCATGTAGTGTGTTGGGTCCTGTGGAAAGAAAGAAATAGTAGGATTTTTGAAGGTCAAAGGTGCTCCTTAGATGAGTTGGTGGTTTGGGCATTGGCTACTTTACATTCCTGGCTGTCAGCCAAGGACTCGTTTAAGCATATCCCCCACCATCAATACTTTGATTTGGATTTTTTGTTTACTTGATTTAGTTGGGGATCTTTTGTATGTATTTGGGAGAGACTGGTTTTTTGGTAACTTTTTGTATAGTTGTTGGCTGTACATGGAGTTTTGTGGACCAAAGGCTGCAATATGTTACAATTATATGCATTAATACAATTACATTACTTTTTCTCAAAAAAATAAAAGGAGATACAGGGGGATAATGTTGAAATAGAGGAAGAGACTGCAGAAGGAGAAGAGAATGATGATGTGGTGATTATTGATTGAGTGAGAAAAATAGAAGGAAATATAGGATTATGGACTTGGAAAAAATAGTGGAAACTGAAGTCCAAGTAAGCAAGATATTGGGGTTATCTTTTATAGGAGGGGAAGAATTTGCCAGGAAAATGGTTCGAGAATTGGAAGAGAGATATCTATTGAACAAAGAAAGATTTAATGGAGAGACCTGAATGGTGAGAGTTGTTAGTTCGTTGCTAGCTTGGGGATCTTAGTGGGATATGGCTAGGGTTTGAAGTCTCTTAGTTTTGATTAGTGTTTTCAACTTGCAGTTGACCCGGCTGGTTGAACCGTTCGAACTGTCACCCGGCCATGATTCCAGGTCCAGTTCTCTTAATACTCAGCCTTGGTAAAAAATTGTTGACCTGATTAAAAACTGTCCGACCTGGATGGTTGGACCTTTGACCCATTCGACCCAGTGACTGGATCATGGGTTGCACATTAAATGTGTATGCAAATTTCCAAAGGCCATAAGTTTGCACTCCGATGTTCAAGATCTCTGTGTCCCAAGGTGCTGTAGGTTCCTTGCAAAAAAGTTAACTCAAATCACAATTTTTGCAAAAAAGGCCTCAAATCACAATTTTTAATATTTTTACAAAAATGAAAAATTGAATTAAAAAATATAAATTAAAGATAAAATAATACTTATATGTACATATATTACATGTAAAAATAATTATGCATTATTTTATTGGAAAAAACAGTTCAACCTCTGTGTTGGTTTTTAAAACATTGGCTTTGATAGTGAGTTTTGTTCTTTTGTTTGTAAGGGCTGGGGAAAAAAAGTTTATATTTAAAGGGGGTTCAACTTCAGTTGGTGAAAATTGCAGACTTCGTGGAATAGAAAATAGTTGACTGTTTCATTTATCACTTTAGTGAACTGAAGATGTCCAAATCTTTGTAGTTTAGACTTTAGACTAACCATAGATTTTAGCAACATTCAAATCATCTAGTACACCTGATACACATTACTCGTAGTGGGTATGTGATTAGTTTACCTAGTAAAACTGAATATTGATGACATCATCTGCCTCAAATAACTGTTGTACTTGGGTACTATCTAGTACTCCTGATACACTTAATAGAATTTAGGGCAGTCATCTAAAGCAAAAACATTTTGTGAACTGTGGCATCATCCATCTCAGTATGTGCTACATCTGTACAGCACTTAAATTTCGCATACATGTGGGTAGCTTGAATATATCTATCTGCTTATATGTAAATATTACAACTCTGCAATGTCCTTATTGTTGCTGTTTTTCTCCAACTTCTTGAACTATTATCTTGGTTGTGTAGAATGTTGATGCTATGTGATTATCTTTTTCGACCTTTTCATTTTTTGATGTCCTTGCGGATTAATTTAAGCTCCATCATTTATTTTTTCATCAGGCCATCACTGCTTTGAAGAAAGGAGCATATTTGCTGAAGTATGGACGCAGGGGGAAACCCAAGTTTTGTCCTTTCAGGCTGGCAAATGTAAGTTTTAGTTAATTGTTTCAAGATTTTTTTTAATTATATATTTCAAGATAAAGTAAGTTTATTTTGGTACTTCATTGTTCAACCTTCATTTTGGTTTGGTTATCAACTAAAGACTTTATGTTATTCGCATGGGTGGGAGTGCAGAATCTTTTCAGAGGGAGACCATTTAACTCTCATTTTGATAGAGGAGTTCTTTTTGTATAAACAAGGGGGGGGGGTGAAATGTTTCGATACCTTGTGTATTAGTGTATGGTTCCTTGGTGTAATGGTAAAAGTTCGGGCTTGAATGTGGGCTCTAGTTTGAGAGCAGTCATTTTGTGCAAAAAAATTCCAAAGGTTAGGACCGTATCCAGTCCACTTCCTAAGACCCGAGATAGCTGGGACCAACATTGGGTAATGGCTTTTTCATAGTTCCTTGGTGTAGATGGGGCTTTTGTAATTTCTCCCTATCTTTTTTCTCTAGTACAAATTTTTACTTAATCTTCTTCTTCTCCTCCTCGTCCTCTTCAAAAAACAAAAAATCATAATTCATTCACTCATTCATTCTTCTTCTTCAAGTTCAAAGATCATAATTCATTCACTCATTCACTCAGAACTTTTATTCATAATTCATTCAAGTTCAAAGATCAATAATAATAGTAACAATAACAATTATTAAAGAGGTTGTGAATGACTTATTGTCTTGTCTTTTAGTAAGTTATTAAAGAGGTTGTGAGGAAGTTGCAGACAAGGCTCTTGCTAGTAATGTTTCATAGCAGAAAGTTCGCAAAACAGGTGTTGGAGGAAGAGAAGCAAAAGAGAGAACATTCGATCTAAGGTTAGATTGGTGGTCGTTGGTAGTCAGAGAACTGGTTGAAGGCAGACGAAAATGTGTGGTGTGGATAGATGTTGTGGGGATCCCTCTTCACGTGTGGTGTAACAACACATTTGAGGAAATTGTTGCTACCTGCAGTAGACTCACAAGGCTGGACGATAGGAATAGAACCTGGTAGGGGTGGTAACGAGCCGAGCTTTTCATGAGCTGCTCGAGCTTGAGCCCAATTTACAGGCTCAATTAATAAATGAGCCGAGCTCAAATATATATATATATATATAATAAAATTATAGAAAATAATATATATAATAAAAATATTACAATTCTTATTTTTTAAATATCAAATAAAAATATTTTTATATACAAATTTTTATTCTTATAAAATATTTTTCTTCAAATCGAGCTCGAGCTTATGAGTTTTTGACTTGAGCCGAGCTCGAGCTCGAGCTCAATATTCTAGCTCGAGCCTTATACAACCTTGGTGAGCTGAGCTTGAGCCTCATACTATTCAGCTCGGCTTGAATCCACCCCTAGAACCTAGGACAAAATGGATATGGCGAGAGTTTTGGTAGAAGTAGAAAATGTAGTAGATGTCCCAAAGAGGATGGTCTTAATCTTTGCAGGGGAACGGTATATCTAAGACTGGTAGTGGAAGGAATGGACGGCACTTACCATAAGGTAGAAATGAAACTAGAGGTGAAGGGCTCTTCAGATGAGAGGAGAAGAGAGAAGAACGGGCAGAGGAAGGAGGAAGAAGAAAGGTCGGTCAGAAAATCAGGGGAGAAGGCAGAGAAGAAGAGGAAGTCGAAGAGACGAAGGATAGAGGGAGAAGATGATGAGTTGGCGGTTTTAGTTAGAAAGAAAACACACATGGAAGGTGGGGTTGAGATGGCAGATAAGGAAAAGGGGACAGATGGAGATCGATGGACCTGGGCTAGTAGGATTGTAGGAAGTGGTAGCTTCAAAGAAGGGAGAACAAATAGAGGGGGAGAGGAAAATTCGCCAGCAGGTAATATAAGGTTATTATTGAAGAGAGATAATCGGTTTAGAAGGTTAGCGGTAAGTTTTAAGAAATCATCGAGAGCCCAAAGGTCAGGGAGTAAGAGGGGCAATTTTGGAAAAAATACATCTTCGTTGAAGCTTAGCCCCAATTGTTTGAGTTCCAGAAAGTGGATATACAGAGGTCGTAGAGAAGAAGAGGAAGATAAATGGGTTTGGGTGGTAACCAAATATGAAAATGGAAAAAGATTCAAGTTTTGACGGATGAAGGAGAATCTCAGGAAACCGCTGCAAAAAGGAAAATAGCTGATTCGTAGAGAAGCGTTAAGGGGGTTGTTGATCAGAAAACAAATGATGATTGACCAAATAGGACAAGAGTAGAGGTGGTCGTTTCACTCCCAGAAACAAAAAACAATAAGGAGGAAAGCTCTTCGAAAAAGAGGAGCAGAAGTTCAAGGGGCTTCAGGACGGCGGACTGTGTAGGAAGAAAAGAACGCTCCTACTATCAAGAATCCAAGTACTACACATAGTTTTCAAGGCGCCTAGGCGAGACTAGGCAACCATGGGGCGCCTAGGCACCTAGGCGTTGGAACCTATAAATATATTAATTTATAAAAATAGTTTTATTATATATATATAAATAGGCGCCCGCCTAAGTCTCTGGGCGGGCGCCTAGTATGTTAAACCTGGGGCGTTTGGGCAAGGCGACCATGAAAAAGCGCCTAGTCACCTAGGCGTCGCCTTGACAACTATATGACTACAGCAAATGTTGTATCAGAGGCGACAGAAAGTAATGAGGATAGACCATGTGGGCATTCAGTTACCAGAAGTTTGGAGGCTGCACTCAGATGTGAAGTGGTTAGTCAGTCTGACTCATTGAATGCTCTTTCGCTGGAAGATTCAAACAGGCGAGAGGGGGAGGGAGGAAAAAGAATAGAAGAAGTGGAAGGGAAGAAAAATACAGAAAAAAGAAAGCAGGGGAGGAGAAGGAAGGAGGTGGAGTAAGGAACAGGGTATACAACAGAAAAAGAAGGCACTCTGGCAGCCCCCAGAGTCCAGAAGAAGCAGCTCCAAAAGCTGGGGGCAGAACATTAACATTAACAAACTAGTGAAGAGGGAGGTAGAGATAGGAAAATCCCTTGGTTTAGTTTTTTGGGGAGGGGAAGGCTTTGCAAAGATGGCTTTTGAAAAGTTTGAGAAAAAGAAAAGAGAAGAGAAGGGAAGAAATTCTAGAAAAAAAAACTAAGGGGTGGGACGGGGAAGGGGAAGAAGAGGAGGGTCTGGATGACATTGAGTGACTTTTGGGGGTTGGGGAAAGCGAGGGGAGGGGGAGAAGATGAGGATACTTAGCTGGAACATGAGGGGTTTGAGGGAAGGGAGGAGGAGAGAATTAGTGAGGAATTTGAATATGATTTGACTGAGAATTTCTGGGGCACTTTGGAGCCGAATCCATATAGCTTTGATTCTTTCTTCAGTTTGATCTGATCTGTATGTGGTTTGTCAACTTGACAACCATTTGTTGAGATGTACTGCTTTTTTATTTTACTAAAATTTTCATTGTTATCCTTAAAAAAAGATAATGAAGGAGCTGGTGGTGAGAGGGGGGAAATGGGAGAGCAAGAGGAATTGGGGGTCTGAGAGGAGGAGGAAGAAGTGCCTTGGTGAGGAACACAATGAGGAGATTCAACCCAGATGTGAAGTTACTGCAAGAGACAAAAATGAAAAAACAAACACGAAAACTTTGATTCGGGTCTAAAAATGAGATATAGGGTTCCAATTTCTGGATAGAATGGTGGCGGTTTTGGTAATGCAGTTTCACTGAGTTTGGTGTTGCCTGAGTTTGCACAAGTCAGGAAAGAAGATTCTTGGGGATGGTTTATGGGAGGTGTTGGGTTTTCAAGTTTGTTATTTGGATGAATGGTCCTGATTTGTATTTTTTTTTTTGTTTTCTTTCTTTTATTTTTTTCTGGTGGAGTATTGTATATAGGTGTTTCCTTAATACCTATATAGTCTGTAACTTTTTTCATTGTAATGGAATTTTATTTTATTTATAAAAAACACTTGAACATTTGAATGTTTAATTATTTTATCCACTAATAGACAAGTAACTAAATCATTCAATTCAGCCAAATGTTTTAAATAACTGTCATAATAAGCATTTGTATTTATAACCATTACTTGCTTTAGTTCACTTAATTTTCAGTGCCTTGCCTCCAATATGAAAGCTCCCTTCAATGTTTTATGCTGAAATTGAACTACTGATAAATAATGAAAAGGGGAGGATACAAGAAAGAAGGTGATGAAGTGCCACCTTTAAAGTTTTAGAAACTAAATTCTTGTACCAAGAGGGGATCCCCTCTTTCTAGGGGGTGGAGCATATGCTAGAAAGGCATTCAGAGAAGTGGAAGAATCCTCAAGCATGCAGATGAAGCTTAAAGAAGATGTTTAGATGGATGGTGGGACGGGGACCCCCTGTGTAGTTTTGATGGTAATGTGAGAAGGCTCAAGTCTGGAGTGAATCCCAACAGAGTTTTCAAAGGTTTTCACCAGACTGAAGGGAGGTTTATTTGGTCTGGGACCGGTCAAAAAGGTGAAGAAAAAACAAAGAAGGTTATGGAGAAAAGCAATGAGGCTATTTATCAAAAAAAAAAAAAAAAGAAAAGCAATGAGGCCAATTTCCTCAAGGACGGGGTGAATCTGCAGAAGGAATTGGGGTGATACTGTAGTAAGTTTGAAGACAGAAGATATATGGGGAAGAATATTTGAAAACAAATACAATAATAGGATACAATCCTAAAAAATTTATGGGGAAGAATCTTTTCATGGACTGCAATGCATAGACAGCTAAAGGATATACTTTTCAGTTCCTTTTTTTATCATAGAAATCTTTTAGTATCTAGATCAGAGATACAATCAGCCTTTGAGTTTCCTTCCCCTGCTTCAATTTCTTTTTGAGTGGGGCTATGCAAATCTTTTTGCTTCCTTTAATACATTACCTTTTTCTCAAAAAAAGGTTTGAAGACAGAAGATTTCTGATTGGTAATAGGGTCGTTGTTTTGTTTAGGTGGGGTTGTAAGTGAGGCATTGGGTTGGGATCTGTAGCTATATTTTTGTTGCTTGTAGTTTTAGATGCAGGGGTGGGTGACTGTTCTTCTTTTTTATGGTTTCTCAGGGTTTGACTGGAGGCCTTTCTTTGTCCACTTTTGGTCATTTTATGTTTTGAATGCCTTGGGGCTGGGTGATGATTCATCACCTTTCTTGTTCTTTTTTCCCATTTTCTTGAATAAATTTTATTTTTTATTTATCTCCAAAAAAAGTCTTGTATAAAGAGAACATAAGAGCAAATTCCCTTTACATCATGAGCAACAATATCAAGTGAAGGTGAAAAATCTAAACCAAATAATTACTGAGTGATCCAAATCTTTGATTTCCTAGTGCATCATCAGACAATTCATGATGAATGACCCTATATCAGCTGTCAATCTTCTATTATTATGCTTCTTTCTGTCAAAATCCTCTTACTCCTCTCTTTCCATATAACCTAGGAAACCACAAAAGGCATGGTGTTCTTTGTGCCTTTGTTAAATTTAGCACTTTTTGAACTTTTTGAAACATGTTGGGCCCCCAAACCTCTAACCGAACCCCTTGCGACAAGCCCAAATAAACCCATGCTAGGTTCATAAATTCTTAATCCATACTTAAAGATTGGTTTTGTGATTTAGTTTTAGGTTCTTATCTTTTTAAAAAAAATGCCTTGTATTAACTATAAAAAAAATGCCTTGTATTAACTATAAAAAAATGTCTTGTATTAGGAAGAATGAATGAATAATATTGTTCATTCAATCTTCCTAGTTCCTAATACAAGTCATTTCTTAAAAGATAAGGAACTAAAACTAAGGGGCCATTTGGCAAGTCTTTTTGGGAAGATCTTCTAGTTGCTCTGACAGTCAAAAGACACGGTGAGCTTTTGCATTAAGATCTTGATAGCCTGAAGACCGTTTGGTTCAGGCGTGTCTTTCCGCACAAAGACGAATCGAAAATACTGAAAAACTTCATTTGGAGCTTCCCGAAAATCGCCCAATACGGGCTTCTTGCGTCTTTTCGGCACGTTGGCTTTCGGTGGCTAGATCTACTACGAACCAAACAGGAAAAGACACAAACGTGGTCTGCTGGGCTTGTAAATAGCTGACAGACTACGCGAAAAGACGCACCAAATGGGGCCTAAATTATAAAACCATTTTTTTTTTTACTTTTAAGTATGAATTAAGAATTTAAGAACCTAGCATGGGCTTATTTGGGCTTGCCTTAAGGGTATTGGTACAAAGGCTTGTAGAATTAGATAAGTGATTGCTGGGTGAGGAAGACTGCAAATGCGATGGCATATATGTTGGTAAAACAAGGAGTTGACAGATCTCTTCTATTTTGGGCAAAATTGTAATATGATGTAATCTGAGATGGGGAAATGAGCTGATTGTATTAAATTAGGGGATTCATAGTATCCTTCATCAATTTCTTAACTTTGTCAGGTATGATGTTTACTCAGGGGATTCTATTCACTTTTGGGAAGATGTCTGGGTGGGAAATTGGGCTCCCAAAGACCTTTTCCCTTCTCTCTACTCTATTTCCTTGTTTAAGCATAAGGTTGTTTCCAATTTCCTTCCTTCCCCCCTTTCTCCTCTATCTTTAAGTTGGAATTTTGGCTTCCATTGCAGTTTAAGGGATGTTTAACTTGGTAATGTTTCACAACTCTTGGTTCTTGATAATGTCTGTTTGGATTCTTTAAAGTTAGACAAGAGGATTTGGTCCCCCCATCCAAAAGGTTCTTTTACTTGTGCCTCCTTTTTGAAGGCCCTTTCTTCCTCTTCAACTCAGCTGGTCTTTCTAGTTAAGGAGCTTTGGGCTAAGCCTGTCCTCCCTAAAATTATTTTGTTTTGCTGCAAAGTGTTTTACAGAAAAATCAATACTTTAGGCTGCTTGCAAAAGAAAAAGCCTTTTATGTGCTTGTCCCCTAACTGGTGTATTCTTTGCAAAGCTAATGGTGAGGATTGCTTGCACTTGCTAATTTCTTGCTCTTTTGATGTTGTTATTTGGGATTAGATTTTTGCCTTGTTTGGATGCAAGTGGAACCTACCCACAGATGTAAGTCTGCTTTTTGACCGTCAATCTCTATGTGGCCCACTAAAAGAGGGAGGACTAAGTGGAAATGTATTAGAGCAGCTGCACTTTGGACAATTTGGGAAGAAAGGAATTCAAGAATTTTTCAAGAAAAGGAATGAACTCTCTTCGATGTCAAGGAGTGCATCTTAAAAAGGACAATTCACTAGCTGAGAATTTTGGTTCTTTCCATTTGTTTTCCTTTGATGACTTTTGGAGGAATTGGTCAGCAATGGCAAATAGTTCCTCCACAAAGGAAAGGATTACTCTAGTGTGGACCCTACCACCGGAAGGTTGTATAAAGCTAACTTTTGATGGAAGTAGTCAAGGAAATCCTGGCCCTCATGGTTTAGGAGGTTTTTTGAGAGATACGGACAGCAATATCTTAGCCTTGTACTTGGGCCCAGTGGGAATAGGATACTCAAATAGGGCTGAGTTGTTGACAGCTTTACAAGGTATTCTGATTGCAAATCAACTTGGTGTTGATAATTTTCAAATAAAAGGAGACTCTAAGGTTGTTGTGAGTTGGTTAACAGACCGAACTCAGTCATTTGGTGCTACAAGGATCTCCTAAAGAAGGCTGGCTGGCTTTTAAGGAATATGAATGCTAGTACATTGGGTGGGCAGGTCAGCAAATGCTATGGCTGATAATCTTTCTAAACAAGGGGTTTTGAGGGAACATTTTTACTGGGCTACCTTGTATCTCTAGTGCTTTGTGGTTTTTAACACTTTCAAGGGAGGTCGCACCTCATGCCTCTCTGTGGGATGCTTGTAACAGTTCTCTTCTTTTGATAATAAAATTCCTCTTCAGTTATCAAAAAAAAAAAAAAAAAGACTGTACTAAATCAGATTAGTGGATAGGGAAAGAAATAAAGAGATCAAAAGTTTCACGTGCTTGAATATGTTTTATATGTTATGTTTAATTTTATTTTTACATTTTCACTTTGCGTATGTTTTATGTATTTTAATGAGTCTTAAACCATTTTGTTTAATATTTAAGTATGCATTTTTAATTAATATTATTTTTTATTTTGTGTTTTTTTTTGCATTTTATCTTTTTTTTTGAAAATTTTAAAATTCCATGCCTTGCTTCAAAATGGTTAGCGTGCCACCTTGTGCCTTGTAGCTTAAGTGAGAAAAGCCCATTGCGCTTTTAAACACTGAAATAGTGTTGAAAAAAATACTGAAAATCATATTTATTATGATGTATTTGTTATCATTTTATACCCCTATCAGCTGATGTTCTATTGCTACTTGTTAGTATTAATTGTCATCAACAGAGTTATATTTGCTTAATTCTATAAATAACTGAATTTTAAGTTAGGTTTTTCTGCTGAAAGTTAAATAAAGTGGATCTCTGAATGTATGACTAATTTCAGGATGAATCTGTCTTAATATGGTTCTCGGGAAAGGAGGAGAAGCACCTTAAACTAAGTCATGTTTCCCGAATTATACCTGGCCAACGCACTGTAAGTTCTCCATGTTGAGATATCCTATGTCTATTGTATTCCTATCTTGTCTTAGTTCTGATATTTCCTCCATTTTGATGTTTTATTCCTATCTTGCGATACTTGTAATTTTAGGAACTAACAATTGTACAAAGTTCAATAAAGTGCATATCTGATTTTTTATAAATTAACAGTTTTGTTAATATAAAAAAGGATCAAACATTATAGCCATCGCTCGGAGAGTCATAAGATGCAGCGTCTCCCAATAAGATTATTTTTCATTACTTTTTATTTCTTTTAAAAGAAAAGGGTATTTTTCTAGTTTTTCTTTTCTTTGCAAGTTCTGTAAAGTACCATTCAGCATTTACTAAAATCCTATATTAGCTAACATGTCGTTAATTTCTGTAAGTTGATAGTTTATAGGTTTCTTTCTTGGACATTTTAATATATTTCTAGTTTCTTATTTTATTGAAGTGGTTTCATATTTAGCAAATAACAAAAGAAAACCATAAAATTAGAATAGTTTTATTGAAGACAAAATTACATTCATATGGATTTTGGGAAAGAAAGCTCTTTAATTGAGAAAATCACTATTTACAAGTTCCTTACACATCTCAAAGTTATGTAATCACTAATTACAACCTGAATATACTATAACTAATTCAAAGTTATCCTTCAACCTATTTTGTGCTCGTTTGTAAGAAGGTTATTGCCAAAAGTGCTGGATATTTTTGGACTTCACTTGTGCTTTCCAAAATCTGCGGTGGATCTGTTTAAGTTATTGGCAGTATAAGGGCTTGAGCAAAAAAGGGAAAGTAATTTGGAGAGTGTTGCCCTTGGTAATTTTTTGGACCACATAGATGGAAAGAAATGCCAGATGTTTTATAGATATACCATACAGCTCTTTTTTGAAAGCTGAATTGCTTTTTCATAATGTTTATTGTTTCTTTGTACAGATGGAGTTTTTTTTTTTTTGGTGGTGGTGTAATTTTTTGCTATTAATACAATATTTCACCTTTTTTCAAAAGAAAAAGAACATATCAGTGAGATCGATCATCATGTATCGGTTTTTAGGGTCACCGATATTCTAAATAATTGGAGTCAGGTGATTTTCGTTTGTTTTGATTGTTAATAGATGATGTGACATGTTCCCTATCAAATTATCAAATAGAAAAAAGTAAATCAAAATAAACTCTCAATATGCAAATTTTGTGTACCATGAGTATCGATACTTTGAACCTTGGGCTTAGTTTCTGATCATATGCTATTGTGCTTTCTCTAGGCAATCTTTCAGAGGTATCCTCGGCCTGAAAAGGAATACCAGTCATTTTCTCTTATTTACAATGACAGGTCACTTGATTTGGTTAGTATTTTCCTATTGTCACCACTGTTCTTCTATTTAATTAGTTGCTCAGCTATTCAATTTTGCAAGTTACTTCTCCTGATGGATGCTTTTCCTTTTTTTGCCTTTAAATAATTGTTTTGAGGTTTCATGAAGATTGAAGATCTGTCTTAATTTGGTGCTCTGAGTTTCTTGTACCAGATTTGCAAGGACAAAGATGAAGCTGAGGTATGGTTTATTGGTCTAAAAGCATTAATTTCACGTAGTCATCACCGGAAATGGAGAACAGAATCAAGAAGTGATGGAGTTTCATCTGAAGCAAATAGTCCTAGAACTTACACCCGGAGAAGTTCTCCTTTGAGTTCTCCTTTTGGTAGTGGTGATAGCTTGCAAAAGGTGTGCACTGCTTGTGCTTTCCTAGTTCCTGTATTTTCCACTAATTATCTCAATAATGAGAAATTCTTCCTTATGTTGATTCAGGATGGAATGGACCCTCTTCGTCTTCACAGTCCATATGGAAGTCCCCCTAAAAATGGTATGGACAAGACATTTTCTGATGTGATATTATATGCTGTTCCACCCAAGGGTTTCTTCCACCCAGATTCTGCTAGCGGGTCAGTCCATTCTTTGTCATCAGGTGGATCAGATGGTCTAAATGGGCACATGAAGAGCATGACAATGGATGCTTTTAGAGTAAGTCTATCGAGTGCTGTTAGCTCATCAAGTCAAGGTTCTGGTCATGATGATGGCGATGCTTTAGGGGACGTTTTCATTTGGGGCGAGGGCACGGGGGATGGGGTTCTGGGTGGTGGTACTAATAAAGTTGGAAGTTCTGGTATTAAAATGGATTCTTTTGTGCCTAAAGCCTTGGAATCTGCAGTAGTGCTTGATGTTCAGAATATAGCTTGTGGTGGAAGGCATGCTGCTTTAGTAACCAAGCAAGGGGAGATTTTCTCTTGGGGGGAAGAATCAGGGGGCAGACTTGGGCATGGCGTAGATTCTGATGTTTCACACCCAAAGCTAATTGATGCTCTTGGGAACACTAATATTGAACTGGTAGCATGTGGGGAGCACCATACTTGTGCTGTAACACTATCAGGAGATCTATACACATGGGGTGATGGTACTTACAACTTTGGGCTCCTTGGACATGGAAATGAAGTCAGTCATTGGGTCCCAAAAAGAGTGAATGGGCCCTTGGAGGGTATACATGTCTCGTCCATCTCCTGTGGACCATGGCATACAGCTGTTGTGACCTCTTCCGGTCAACTATTTACTTTTGGTGATGGAACTTTTGGTGTTTTGGGCCATGGAGATAGGAAAAATGTGTCAATACCTAGGGAAGTTGAATCCCTGAAGGGGCTTCGCACTGTTCGAGCAGCTTGTGGTGTCTGGCACACTGCTGCAGTTGTTGAAGTTATGGTTGGGACTTCAAGTTCAAGCAATTGTTCCTCGGGGAAGCTGTTTACTTGGGGAGATGGAGACAAAGGTCGACTTGGGCATGGTGACAAGGAACCCAGACTTGTGCCTACATGTGTTGCTGCTCTAGTTGAACCAAACTTTTGTCAAGTTGCCTGTGGGCACAGTCTTACAGTTGCACTTACAACCTCAGGCCATGTTTATGCAATGGGTAGTCCTGTTTATGGTCAGCTAGGAAATCCTCAGGCTGATGGGAAGCTCCCAACCCGTGTTGAAGGAAAGCTCTTAAAAAATTTTGTTGAGGAGATAGCTTGTGGTGCTTACCATGTTGCAGTTTTAACATCAAGAACTGAAGTTTATACCTGGGGCAAGGGAGCAAATGGCCGATTAGGTCATGGAGATACAGATGATAAAAATTCTCCAACACTAGTTGAAGCTTTGAAAGATAAGCAAGTCAAAAGTATTGCTTGTGGTACAAATTTCACTGCAGCAATCTGTCTTCATAAATGGGTATCGGGTATTGATCAATCAATGTGCTCCGGATGCCGTCTGCCGTTTAATTTCAAAAGAAAACGACATAATTGCTACAATTGTGGACTTGTTTTTTGTCATTCATGTAGCAGTAAAAAATCTCACAAGGCTTCTATGGCACCAAATCCCAACAAACCTTATCGTGTGTGTGACAACTGCTTTGGTAAACTCAGGAAAGCCTTAGAGGCTGATTCTGCATCCAACTCTGATCTGAGTAGAAGAGGAAATATGAATCAGTGCCTTAATGAATTGATTGAAAAAGAGGCAAAGTTGGACTCTAGATCTCATGTACAATTGGCTAGATTTTCTTCAATAGAATCCTTTAAGCAAGTGGACAGTAGATCTAAGAGAAATAAGAAACTTGAATTTAATAGTAGCCGTGTTTCTCCTGTTCCAAATGGAGGTTCTCAGTGGGGACCACTTAATATCTCTAAATCTTTCAATTCCAAAAAGTTTTTCTCAGCTTCTGTTCCTGGATCAAGAATTGTTTCTCGGGCAACATCACCTATATCAAGACGGCCTAGTCCACCTCGCTCCACCACACCAACCCCAACTCTGGGAGGGCTTACATCTCCAAAGATTGTTGTGGATGATGCTAAAAGAACAAACGATAACCTAAGCCAAGAAGTTCTTCAGTTAAGAGCACAGGTATATATCTTTGCTTTGTCATTAATAGTCCAACAGGTTTTTTCTTTTTTATTGGGTTTTTGATGTTCAAAGTTGAAGTATCTTGCTTTAGCTCATTTCTTGAGTTGCTTTGTTGCACTAAATATTGAAGTATCTAACATGAACATGGTGTCCTTTTTGAAGTGTTCATGCAACATAGAAGCCAAGCATGCATGTAACTTCAAAGACACCAGTTTGGTAAATCCTGAAGCCTTGATATCACAGAACTTGTGTTTAACCTACTTGCCTACTAAAAGAAGTGCTTCAGAGATTAATGGGACATGTCAAACCTTGGAAAACAAAAGGAAACAAATAAATAAACTGAAGATTGAAGACTGTTGCATTTATAAACAACATGTATGCTTAAATCATTATTAATAGCTTGATCTACCAACCATTGATGCAGTCATTTTATTTCTCTGCACTAATTGATGAAGTTTCTTTTCCATGTCATCTTTGCTGGATTTGTTGCAGTTGTATATTTGGCATTCTCTTCATGGACAACGGATTTATGCTTTTATGCATTCCAAATTGTAGAGCTCCAATATAGGGTTGAACCATATTTCAAACATGTACTTAAAAGCATTCCAAGGATATGTAGTGGCTCTCAATGATTCTACAGTATATTGAAATATTAAGAAATAAGAAAGTTTGGGTTATTTTCCAAAATCCTAAGTTAATGTAGGGATGACATGCTTGTCAACTATCTGATGAACCGTATTTTGTAGGTTGAAAATCTCACCCGTAAGGCCCAACTTCAAGAAGTTGAATTGGAAAGAACGACTAAGCAGCTAAAGGAGGCAATTGCAATTGCAGGGGAAGAGACTGCAAAATGTAAAGCAGCTAAGGAAGTGATCAAGTCACTTACCGCTCAAGTAAGTTGAATGCTTATCTTATTTATTGATAAAAAGTAATGACAATTTTATTTCTAGTAACCTCAAAACTTGTTAATCTAGGAAGGCATTCTTTATCACATTTTATTCAGCCAACTCTTTTTTTTTTTGTACTAAATAAAAAAAAAAAAAGAAAATTTCACTGGGTGAGAAAAGAAGATGAGTACAAGTAGGGGGTGATGAGGGATCACCTAGAAAGCAAGAACGAAAAAACATCAAAAAGAAAAAATACATCAACTTTCCCCCCCAGCTCCAATTCTAAAACTGACTAAAAACCAATCCCAATAGTCTTTACAATCATCCTCAAATTCTGGAAGAATCATAATCCAACCCAAGAATCTTTTCCCCATGATTGAGACAAGACAGTTGTGACATTTGTGTTGGTCTTCAAAATTTTTTCTATTTCTCTCCTTTTGTAACTCCCAACAGATTGCAAATTGAACACAACTCCAGGCTATCTTCACCTTCCTGCTTCTGTTTAGAGCTGGCCAAAGTGCAAAATCTCTCTCGGTGACCTTGGGAGCCACATCTCCATTTTGAATAAAAAAGGCATCTCAGTGACAGTGCTACCGCCAATGTGGGGTCTGGGGAGGGACAGATGTACGCAGCCTTACCCCTGCACATACAAAGAGGCTGCTTCCAAGATTTGAACCCTGGTCACCTGGGTTGCAATGGAGCAACCCAACTGTTGTGCCAAGACCCCACCCTCACATCTCCATTTTGAATAGAGAAAAGAAAACCCCAAATGATCTTTGCATAACAGCAGCCAAAACATAGATGAAGAACATCCTCTTCCTCAAGAACCCCGAGGATGCTGTGTGGTGCTATAAGAAATTAAGAATGAAACCAAGAAATTTAAGTGGCTGATAAGGAGTATGTTTGTAACTATACAGTGGGTGGGGAGATCAGCAAATGCATTGGTTGATGGCTTAGCCAAGCAAGGGGCAAATGGGGAAGTTATGTTTTAGGCTCAGCTTTAATGTGCTGCTTTTTCTAGTTTCCTTGTAATCTATTGGGAGAGGCTGCAGCTCGTGCCTCTCCAAGGGCTGTTGTATGAGCTTAAAGTTCTGAATCAAATTCCAAATTAATAAAATTTCTTTTTATTTCATCAAAAAAAATCCTCTTCCTCCACTAGGCAAAAATAATATCTTCCTGCCAACTGGATAATCCTGCTTTTGATGTGGTCTTGGGTAAGAATGCTGTCCAAAGCAACCAGCCACACAAAAAGCCTCAACCCTTAGAGGAAAAGGGCTGCCCCAAACACTTTTGATGTCTGCCCTATCAACCTGATTTCTTGCTAATGCTTTATAAAATGATTTTACAGAGAATATCCCATTGCTACTCTCCTTCAACAACCTTGCATCAGCCTCCATTTCCCAATCAAGAAACTGTCTCCTGAATTTTGGATGCCAAACTATGAGACCCTGAACAACTTCACAGCATTGTGAAATTGGAATGTCTTTCCTAGTCAACCTATACAGTCTCAGACATAACTCACAATTTTCCAAATCAATCATCCTCCCAAAACTTTTTCCCTATTTTCAACATTAAAAAAACATAACCCAAGAAAGATGAATGGGAATTCATGGTTCCACACACAAACTCCATATGATAATTTCACCTCCCTTGTATCCCAAAAAAGTTCACCACACCGTACTTACAAGCAATCACTCTATTGAATCCTTTTCACACCCAAACCTCCACAACCACTTCCCAAACATCGTCTTATTGAATAATCTAATCCTTCTAATCCCCAATCCCCCATTGTTTTTATCCCTACATACCCACTCCTACTGCACCAAATGATATTTTTTTCTTTGGCCCCTTGCTATAGATGCACAGAATTTTTAATACAGTCTGGTTTGAAAGGTTCTAATGAGGTATTGAGAATTAGTTGTCATAGGAGTGATTATTTGGAATTGTTTACAGCTTGTCACCTTTTGTTGTCTAATGATTGTTGTTTTTGTTCTTGTTGTCATTGCTGTAAATGTTATTGTTATTATTTGAATGAAGCAAAGGGCGGCAGTTTGTGGAACAGTGCAAGAAATATTTAAAATTAAAATAAATTATACAGGGTTGAAATATATAATGTTCATATGAAACCAATGATATTAGTTATGTTTGCAGCCCTTGCTTCACCAGCTTGTTCTTGTTGATCCCAACTGAAATCCTCAAGTGTCTTTGAAGCCTTTCAATCCCTTACTGACAAAAATACCTGTGCAGAAAATGTTGAATGAATATAAGAATAATAGATTAAATATACATTGCATGATGAAACTAGACATTATCTTGAACAAAATTTGTGCAAGAAATATGTTATCTATTTGGTGTGATAGGGGTATTCTAAATTTTGTTGCTACTCTTGCTTTTATAACAGTTGTTGATTTTATTTATTTCTTCTCTTTTTTTTTTATATATTTGTGTTTGTAATAGTTAAAAGAAATGGCTGAAAGGTTGCCTGTCGGAGCAGCACGGAACAACAAACCTCCTCCCTTAACTTCCTTTGATTCTAGTCCTACCCCCAGCAATGTTTCTGCAGCACCAATTGACCAGACGAGCAGTCCAATAACATCCCATGAACCAGATTCAAATGGATCAAATAGCCTGGTGCTCTCTAATGGACCAAGCACCACTAATAACCGGAATTTGAGTCACAACAGAATAGTCTATTCTGAAGCAACAAGGAATGGGAGCAGAACACCAGAAGGGGAACCCCATCATGAGTCTGAATGGGTTGAGCAAGATGAACCTGGTGTATACATTACACTTACATCCCTACCTGGGGGTGCCAGGGATTTAAAGAGAGTCCGCTTCAGGTACGTTTTCAACGACTTGGTTTTATTTTCCCCCTCCCTTACTGACCAGCTGAAAGACGAACCACCTTTATATAAACATCTCTTCTTGAGTTGAGGGTTGAATTGAAGTATTCGTTCTTCTGATGGTATTTGAATGCAGTCGGAAGCGGTTTAGTGAGAAACAAGCAGAACAATGGTGGGCGGAGAACCGTGCAAGGGTATATGAGCAATACAATGTGCGCATGGTTGATAAATCCAGTGTCGGTGTTGGGAGTGAGGATTTAGGTCATTGACACGTAGAAATAATCTGTATATGAAAAGGTATAGTTGAGGCTTCAATTGCATTGAAGCTTGTTTTGATCAAATTTAGATGTTGCTTTCATCTTATTGATGGGAAAAGGTGGTACATAGAAAGGCGAAGAGAGGATTAGAGAGGATTGGTTGTGTTTTGTCCCTTGATTTCCTTTTTTTCGTTTGGCCAAAATGTGCCTGTGTGGAAGAAAAAAAAAGCCAAGTTGGTTGAGGATGAGGAATGTAAATTCTTAGTAGGTAGCTAGCTTTTATTTAAAGCAGCTGCCTTGTAAATTCATAAGCAAATGCGTCTTCAAGGTTTTACAAAGTTAAAAATTTGCTTCTTTTACTTCTGAATTCTGGTTTTTGTTTTTTCTGTGATATAAGAGCTCACTGCATCCGTCTTCTCAAGTAATAGTCTTAGAGGATGATTTTGAAGTAGCCCCAATGGTTTTAAAACCGTCATTGACTTGGGTGGTTGAACCGTTCAACTTGGAAACTGGTTGCCTATCTCGTTCTATTTTCCTTTGACTCATTTGGCAGAAAAAACATTGAATTGGTCAGTCAACCAGCCAACTGTTGACTCAGATGGTCGGACTTCTGAACCTATCGATCCGAACAATGATTTATCTATTCTTTTCAGAAAAAAAGATTAAAATAATGGAGAGAGAGAGAGAGCTACCATTGTCATTTCTATTGCAAGTCACCACTAGCACTGCTTAATTGTTCGACATTTGAACCGTTTGAGCTCCTGACCTAGAAACGGTGGCCAAGTGGTTCCATTTTCAGATCAGTTTTTAAAACTTTGGTAGCCCATTAAATTTTATCCAATGTCTGAATCATCCTGCTGACTAAGTCGGATTCATTTTCATTTGAAACCGTCTTCTTGAAGAACGCTGCCTGCAAACTGGCAAGTTACAAATCAAGAAAGTTCCCATTTGCCATTTGAAAACATTTCAAAAAAAAAAAAAAAAAACAGTCAAAGGACTGCATTACCAAAGATTGGGAAGGTAGTTCATATTGTTTGTTTCTTTTTTTTTTTTTTTTTTTTTTGAAATCAAGCCCAAAGTTATTCTATTAATTTATTAGACTTTAAATGAACCCAAGTCTCCATTGTTGGGCTAAAACTAAAGGCCGCATCAATCTGAAAATAGGATAGACCTGTGTAAACACCAGTTAAATTGACCCCGTTACTACCACCCTGGTCCCCATCTCGGTCATTTCAAACCGCCATCACTGATTAATTAGGTTGTGTTTGTACGGGTTTCCCCACCTTATATTTTAAACCAAACACTGCCTTAGTTTCAAAAGCAATTAGCCAATTACGTATATAAAAGCACAAATGAAAAGCAAGACCAATTGGTTTTTATTTTGAAATGACCTTTTGTAATCGGGCAATAGCCACATTACACTAGGCAATGCACCTGGAGGAACTTGCATGAACGTATCAGCCACTTTAGAAAGGTATTGCGAATAAGGATGCAAACTGATCAGTTGGGATTCGTATCAGGCTATATCCGAATCTGATCCAATATTATTCATGTCAGATCCGATCTGATCCGGATCTGATAGGTATCGATTTGAAATCAAATCCTATCGATAAATTGGATATTTCGACCTGCGACTTGTTTTCTTTAAAAATTAATAAATTATTAAAAGAAAAATAAAATATATCGATTTAAGTAAAAAAACAAAAATACAAATATTTTTTAATTATTTTCATCATATATATACATGATTTTTATAAAAAATAAATAATATAACAAATTTATAAAAATACAATATAAATAATATATTCATAAATAAATAAATAACATAGATCTGTATTATATATTTATATTTATAAATATATAACATATATTGGATCAGATCTTCTCGAATTAGATAGGGGTGATCCGAATCCGATCCGATTTCTGATTGAATCCTATTATTCAACCCAAAGATCCAAACAGAGGTGATCCGAATCCGACCAAATCGGATCAGATCATGATCCAATCCATTTGCACCTGTAATTGTGAAACCCTGGTCGGACATAATAGGTCGTTTTTTAATGGTTTAGACAGTAATTTAAGGTTGTATTTGGTGTCATTAGTACTTCTACTTGAAACATTTTGGGTTGATCAATACAAATTGACATACAACTGTTTTTTGAGCTAGTTTATAGTTGAAAGCAAGGTTTTTAAAACCGAACCGAACAACAAACCGGTCAGTGGTCCAGTGAACGGACGACCCGTTCTGCCAAAAAATAAAAACCATCCAAACCGTTAAACGGTTCAAACGGTTTGACTGCTTGGGTCAGCAATTTGCTGACCAAATCAATGGTTTTTAGGGAAATAACGGTTCTGGGGTATAACGGAACCGGTCACCGTTCCCAGTTTTTCTAGTCCGACCGTCCAGTCTGGCCCAATTTTGAAAACCATGGTTGAAAGAGTCATATCTTAAAAATGCATGTGTATGTGTTTTTTATATATTGACATTTCATGCTTTGGACCTATTCCTAGGCCAGGAATGGGCTTAGCTTTTGCTACAATTTGTATCAGCCTGGCCTAAAGCAGTGTAAAATATTTATAGGCTGAGCTCAAAGCTTGACCCTAAAGCAGTGTAAAATGTTCATGGGATGAGTAGGGATGGCAATTTTCCCCATTTCCCCGATCCCCATGGGATCCGCCCCGAATGGAGCGGGGATGGGGATGATTTTCCCCCATGGGGATGGGGATGGGGATGGGGAAATTTTCATCCCCGTTAGCGGGCCACGGGGATCCCAATCCCCGCCCGTGGGATCCCCACTAATATATATGTATATATGTATGCATATGTTATATATGTACACACACATGTATATATTATATTTTAAAAATATGGTTGAATATGTTTGAATCTTTTTTAATAGATTGTAAATTTTAATTATTTCATTTTTATTTTTTAAATAAAATAAAAAACAAAAATAAAATGGTTAATATTATAAAAAAATTACAGGGAATGGGGATCCCCATGGGGATGGGAATCTATGTGGGGGCGGGGATGGGGATAACCTCATCCCCGTTAGCAGGGATGGGGATGGGGATGGGGATTTTCGCGGGGACGGGATCCCCATCCCTGCCCCGCTCCGTCCATTCCTAGGGATGAGCCTAAAGCTTGGCCCGTGAACAGGTCTTACCTGCTCCAGGGGTGAAGTTTAATCATTATAGATTTATAGCTGAAGCGACTCTCATATATGTTGTGACAATACATTATCACCAATTTATATGAATCAGCACAAAACGCCTCAGGTAGAAAGGAGTTCAGATCTGTCCTCACTCCGACCTCACAGGCACATCTCACCATGTATCGGGAACATCTCTCACAGACCTACACTTTTGTGTTATTCATGGAATGCACGGTGGGTTATGCCTATGAGGAGCATATCCCAATTCTTCAATGATACCAAATACAACCTTAATCGTTCAGCCCATAAAAGTCGTTACAAAAACGGAGACCCATAGGCTTACTGGGTCAGTTCATCGGTTGAATGTCCAAAGCTAATGTATTGAAATAACAAAGGGGAAGAAAAGGATAGAAAAGGAGACGTTTTGGAAAATTATTTTGATAAATCTCCACTACACTGGTTAATCCGATGGAACCAAACACCTTTGTTATCACTTTTGCTCTAAAGAACATGTCATGAAAACACAATTTATCAAATCATTTATACAGTACACATTAAAAAAAAAATACAACCCAACAAGTAAACCTTTACTTTTGGGCTTTAAAAAATATACAAAAGCAAAAATCTGTTCAAAACAGCACCATAATCTATTCTCATTACCTTCCCAAAATCAATTTCCAGAATTTTTCTCTTAACATCTTTCCAAACAGTCTTTAGGCTTCCATTGCATATACTCAGACCCTATTTCTCTTCTCATTCTATAGCGTTACCAAATAAGAAAACAATTTCTGAATGCTTAGCTCTTTTTTTTTATGGTAAGAATAGGCCAAAAAGGCTAGAGTTATGGGCCACATCATAATTCCATTGCTTTGCTCTCTTTTTTTGATGTAACGGAATTGGAGTAAACATTATCCATCAAAAAGAATTGGGACAAACATGAAAAAAGAACCCATGAATTCTGCATTCTAGCTGAATTTAAATTCCTCGCTAGTGCTAGTCATTTCATTTTGGTACAATAGGCAGAGACAATTCCAATAAATATGTTCCCACAATCCAAAGACAGCACTGACTTGCTTTTTCCTTTTTTTTTTTCAATTTTAAAGCTTCACTAATGATGTATCTGGCTTATTAAATAGAAAATGAGAGAAAAACAAAAAATAGGTTCGACCCATTGCCATATGTAAAAAAAAGTTTGCACACAATAGCATTTGCCACAGAAAATTGAGGGAAAAATCTCAAGAAATTTCACAAAAATTCTTCTAAGAAGGTTTATTTTTCTCTCTTATTTTCTGTATTTCAAAACACAGCCTTAAAAGCATAGTTCCTCTCCTGCCATGGAAGCTTCAATGCCTAAACAAACAACAACAGGTGATTGTGGGCACTGAGCAAGCACCATCAAGATCATCCACAAAAAGAGAGAGAGAGACCTGTGCTAGAAGACTTGTCCAATCGAAGAGCTATTGAAGATTCTAGGGTATCAAGCTTGTAATTTTCAACATCATATCATAATCAAGTTAGAAACAGAGACAGCCCATAACGCCAAAACACAACCCCACCACAAAGAAAAGTAAGAAATTACAGTAAAGAGGAAAAGAAAAGCAACACCACCATTTCCAAATCAGGTCATTTCATGCCTCCAAAATGATGGTTCTCAGGGCCAGGATTTGCAGTACTCCTTCCACATAACACCAACACTTTATCTCTCACTCAGTGATTATACTGTAATAGAGCTATCTTGGGTTTGGGCCACAATACCCTGATTGTGGCATGCAGCCCTCACAACTTGTTAGGTACCGAAGATTCAGAAGATCGAGACCCAAAATTGGGTCAGTCCCACCAGAGAGGTTGCATGAATAAAGCATTCATTTCACATAATTCAAAGGGTTTTTTTAACAGAAATTTTCCCCACTCTTCACTTATTTTGAGGAAAAACACATATTTGGGAAGCCTTTTGGACTGTTTTCCCTCTTGGTTACTGCTATTGTATCATCTTTTGCTTTTAAGTAAGTTATTTTTGTCGATCAAAAAAATCTATATCAATATTACTATTAAAAGTATGAATGAGAGTGAAACTTTTACTTCATTAAGATTAAATTATCCCTGTTTTTCAATTTGGTCACTCTTTGATTGTAAGGGTAATGAATATAATTTAAACAACTATTTTCATCACATTCAATTCCCCCTCATTATAACTTACATTAATGTATCAATT